GAGTAATTATCTGAGCATATATGCTACTTATCTTAAAGATTTGACTTTCCAATGTAGGTATTCAATCGACTACCGTTTACCCCGATGCTTTGCTACGCGTTCTCTTGCCAAGTAAGTGTTTTTCGTGGCATACATGCGCATATATGTGATGTATCTTCCAATTCTGACAGTGCTCGAATGCTTGGTGTCTTCCCCGATGCCCAGGCCGATGACGGCGCGGATTATTGGTCGATACCGTCAAAACGATGTCATATCGCTTGGGAGACTGGATTTGCACGGTATGTACACACTTTATGACTCTCTAGGTAGTAATTTGCTAACAATGCATTCGTTAGCACCGTATCGTCCCCTTGTACCCAATTCACGCATGCAGGGGATATGCCCTCCGAGTCGTTGCCACCCTCCGCGCCATAGCAGTCAAAGTCGCCTTGGTTACACGCAAGCTCCTCGCAGCCGCAGCCATCACCGCAACTCTTCGCACGCCACCACCACCGATGGTGAGCAACTTCACCTCTCGTCAACGCCCGTTGAGAAGGTATGCTGAGTGTCATTGTCATGATCATCCTGATTCGTCTCCTCAAGACGCATATACTGGCGGTTTCCATGGTAAGCGGCTACATCGCAGGAGTAGCCTTAATCAGCCAAGAGAGCGATGTGAGGAGCAAAGGGTTTCAACTGGTGATGACGACGGCTCACCTCGCATGCCTCTGTCGTCTAAGCAGAAGACGAGCGGCATGACATCGAAGAGAACGATAACTGCCAACATTTACTCAAGGTGTTTTCATTCGCTTTTCTTCGACTCTACACTGGCTCATTGATCAATCTTCCAGACTACTGTTTTTTATGTCACCCACTTGCTCACAGTCTTCCGCATGTATATATTGCTTTCTTTTTTTTTCTCCATCCTTCCAATCTTTTCTCTTGCTGCCTGCCATTCTTGTGTCGTTTTCAGACTTTGTATTAGATGCTACAAGAAATATATGTTGTATTTCGCCGTATTTCATATGAAGTGATCAGAATTTAAAATAAGAATTCAAGATCTAGCTAAGATTGTATGGAAATGGTTCACTAGGATGGCCTAGTATGGCCTCGCATGGTGTCAGGAGCCATGCAAGAAACCGGTGCCATGCAAGGCCTATCACCAGGGATGTAAGCCGAGGTTCCAACCTTGGCCATAGAAGGGGGGCTAACCTTTCATGGCCTATTGGCGCCTCTCATGGCCATTTATGGCCTTACGTGGAACCCGAACTTTTGCTGATGCATGGAGCTAGGTGAGTTTGCATTTTCGTTCTTTTGCCCTTATGCTCACAACTCCCCAGGACCTCAATCTGCTTCGTTTTCTGTGGTCAAGGGCTCGTTCAGATACCCCCACGCTCCGTGAAGACGCTCCCCAAAACCATTTACGAAATGGTCAAGGTCTCGTGGAGCTAGGTCAGTTTGCATTTTCGTTCTTTTGCCCTTATGCTCACAACTCCCCAGGACCTCAATCTGCTTCGTTTTCTGTGGTCAAGGGCTCGTTCAGATACCCCCACGCTCCGTGAAGACGCTCCCCAAAACCATTTACGAAATGGTCAAGGTCTCGTGGAGCTAGGTCAGTTTGCATTTTCGTTCTTTTGCCCTTATGCTCACAACTCCCCAGGACCTCAATCTGCTTCGTTTTCTGTGGTCGAGGGCTCGTTCGGATAGCCCCACACTCCGTAAAGACGCTCCTCAAAACCGCTTATAAAACAGTTAAGGTCTCGTGGAGCTAGGTGAGTTTGCATTTTCGTTCTTTTGCCCTTATGCTCACAACTGCCCAGGACCTCAATCTGCTCCGTTTTCTGTGGTCAAGGGCTCGTTCGGATACCCCCACGCTCCGTGAAGATGCTCCCCAAAACCGTTTACAAAACGGTCAAGGTCTCGTGGAGCTAGGTGAGTTTGCATTTTCGTTCTTTTGCCCTTATGCTCACAACTCCCCAGGACCTCAATCTGCTTCGTTTTCTGTGGTCAAGGGCTCGTTCGGATACCCCCACGCTCCGTGAAGACGCTCCCCAAAACCGTTTATAAAACAGTTAAGGTCTCGTGGAGCTAGGTCAGTTTGCATTTTCGTTCTTTTGCCCTTATGCTCACAACTCCCCAGGACCTCAATCTGCTTCGTTTTTTGTGGTCAAGGGCTCGTTCGGATACCCCCACGCTCCGTGAAGACGCTCCCCAAAACCGTTTATAAAACGGTTAAGGTCTCGTGGAGCTAGGTCAGTTTGCATTTTCGTTCTTTTGCCCTTATGCTCACAACTCCCCAGGACCTCAATCTGCTCCGTTTTCCGTGGTCAAGGGCTCGTTCGGATACCCCCACGCTCCGTAAAGACGCTCCCCAAAACCGCTTACAAAACAGTTAAGGTCTCGTGGAGCTAGGTTAGTTTCCATTTTCGCTCTTTTGCTCTTATGCTCATAACTCCCCAGGACCTCAATCTGTTCCATTCTCTGTGGTCAAGGGCTCGTTCGGATACCCCCACGCTCCGTGAAGACGCTCCCAAAAGCCGTTTACGAAACGGTGGAGGTCTCGTGGAGTTAGGTCAGTTTCCATTTTCGCTCTTTTGCCCTTGTGCTCACAACTCCTCAGCACCTGATTCTGCTTCATTTTCCATGGTTCTGGACTCGTTTGGATACCTCGACACCCCCTGAAGAGACTCCCCAAAACTGCCCATGAACTAGTTGAGCACTCTTGGATGTATGTTACGTTCTATTTTTGTCTTTTTGCGCTCATACCCACCAACTGCCCAGGACCTTCTCATGGCTCATTTTGCATAGCCTTGGGCTCATTAGGATACCCACACACTCTGTAAAAATATGCCACAAAAGTTGTCATGACCTTAATTGTTATATCGTTAATGTAAAGAAGTATAGTTACATAAATGTGAAAATGGAGGCAATATATTCATATATTAGAGTCCGACAGCCAAGTAGAGCAATACATTAGCTACCACCTACATCAATGACAACATGGATAGGACTAAAAGCAGGTGATAACTAAGAAATAGTAGAGCAGACTGGCAAAGTCGTCAATGTTGAGCAGGCAGCTGATCGTGGGAAGAAATCACTTTCGTGGGAGAAAGTCAAATTTCAGTGTTACCGCGCTGAAAAAAACCTTGAATCCAGGGGAAATAAACGAGTCTCTTCGTAAACTCAGAGGACTCGTAACACCATTACAGCCTGGTTTGGCTGTTGGGAGGCAATTAGCAATAGAAGGTGCCTCCAACACCCTTACTCCGGACATACAAGTTAGTGGGCCCATGCTAGAAGCCTCAGTCATCCCCAGCACTCAACGTTCAACATCAATTGAGGACAATGCAACTTGCGTCAATGAAGAGCATCTTGAAGCTCCAATGGACCATGATGGTGATTTCCCAATGCTCCCCACACCATTACCCACCTCCAAACGTCCTGAATCTCCCTCTATGCCTGCCCCCACAATGGACCAAGATGGTGGTTCCCCAATGCTTCCCACGCCATTACCCACCTCCAAACGTCCTGAATCATCCTCTACCTCTGACCATGATGGTGGTTCCCCAATGCCAGAAAGTCTAGAAACTTCATTGGCCTCAGTTCTCAACTCAGTTTTTCAATCCCGTCCCATTTTATCCCCTCACCTTGGGACTGTTAATCCCTCTCATATCTCCCTCCCGCTCAATGTGTTGGGAGAAAATCTTTCAGGCCAAGAAGATATTGAGATGGGCGCCCTTAGTGAATTATCATCATCATCTGAAGATGAAGATTCTGGTGGGTTGACATGTTACCTTTTTCTTGCATTTATGATCTGATAAAAATCAATGTTTACTGTATCCTAGAGCATTCGCCAGCTAGGCCTGCGAAAAAAATAAATCCTGAGGTGCAACTGTCTGACAATGACGATACCGACGATGAAGGTGAGGCAGGAGCTGTGTTTTTGCTTTTGCTTTCTGCTGAAGCTCATCATTGCCAGAATCTTTGTCATCATCGTCAGATGAGTCTACAGACAGTGGTGTCAAGAAGCCTATTGGGAATACCTCAGGCAACAGGGGTGGAAGAGGTGATCCTGGAAACTTGAAGAAACCCAGGGTTGGCTCATCAAAGGTAGACACTAAGGGACCCAAAGCGGAGGGTTCCCAAGCGACTGGTGGCGAGAATAATCCTAGGAAACGCTCTCGATTCAGTTCTATTGGGAATTCTCCAGATAAGCCGATCAATGTTGATGAGTTTCTCTCAATGTTTGAACCTGCAATACTGCATGATTATGTGTGTTTCATTTGATTTCAGTCTTGTCCATGCTAATCAGCTTTACAGGGCAAGGACGAAGAGATTTCTCTTAGTAAAGAAGAAGCTCCTCGCATTGTCTGTGACCGGTCATTCACAGTTTACGATATTGATGGCAATCCTCATGAATTCACGCCAGAATTCCATGTACGTGTCAAACTTGTTTATGAGTTTTAATAATCATTTATATTTCATCATTCAGCATGGTGTCTTCAATGACCGGTTCCAAGAGTTTATGGAACTTGTTTATGATGGTTACATTGAGGGTCGTCCTCCTCACATCGTGGATCCACAAAACTCTTGTCTGGCAAAATTGCATCATCAAGACTTTTTGACCATGTCTGCCTCAGACATCCAGAACAAAATGCGCCATAAACAGGTTGTCGTCACTGGGCTCCCCTTCGATGAAAAGATGCAGTTCGATGCCAAAGGCCTTCGCACCGTTGTTGGTTCCATGACTGCACAGATCTCCATTACTGGTTCATTTGAACTTATATATATATATATTTGGTCTAATAATCTAAATCGTTGTTGTAGACTTCTCAGTCATCAACCCAGGGACCGACTGCGTTCCCTCTGTTGTCAGTGGCCATGTTAACGACCTTCTTGAGAATGCCTCGAGCACCGGCAAGATTTTGAATGGACTTGACCTCCCCATGTGGTCTTCCTATCGTCCTTCGAACAATTATGAAACAGATGCTGTTGCATGGAATGTTACCCGTGGGACCCACAGAATTCCGCTTCATGGACCCTTCCCAACCCAGGACCGTGAATGGGGTATTGCCGGTCTTAAGCATGTTCTCACTTTTCTCCACATTGACTGCGATGGGTTTAACACAAGATATGGCACTAAAGTTGGACGAAAACTGTGGGCCTTCTTGAGACCGCAAGATTCGAAAAAACTCTCTTCAATTGACTTCTACATGGATGAAGATGGTTTTTCTCTCTCTGGGAAGCCCAAGGATATCAAGTATGACTTTGAGGCTGTTGTTCTTCGGCCTGGTGATGAACTGTGAGTGTTGTGTTGATAATCATGGCATTATCTCATGATATTGCAGTCATATGCTGCCCAATTCTGCACATTGGGTATATGGCATAGATGATGTGATTGCACAGGGCGGTCATTACTATTCCTCATATCTTATGCAGGAGACTCTGCAAGGCGTTGTACATGCCTTTGTTCTCAACAAGTTTTTAACAAACACAGAGCATATTCCCTCTCGTCACCTATTGCGGAGGATCCTGATCTTCTACCAAGTTGGCCTCATTGAGGGTGGCATCTCTGACGACGGTGAGATTCTCCCCTCATTGTTTATATCTTTGACTCATTTCCACTTGCAGATCCTGCATCAGTTCATCTACCTAACGTTGAGACAATGGAGGGCATGCTCCATATCATCTGTCTTGCAGTCCTGATTATTCTTGGCAATGTTCTGGATTTCAGGACTTACAGCACTCCAAATCAAGGGGAAGATGATGAAGCCTCTCCTACCCAAAGAACATTGATGGACACTGGTGACATCAATGCCATTCCCAACAATGAAAGAATCGCGTATTGTTATGCACGTGGCGTGGCTTTACACATCCTCAAGTGGCTCCGTTCCTGTGCCACTTTCACTGGCCCACCGGATGGTCTTGCCGACGATCTGATATCTCTTTTTTTTGTTCAGATTTTGGCTAGTCTATCAGACTACAAAAGCCTTGCTGAAGCAAAGAGTTATGGTGGAGTCCCCCATTGCACCTCCCATTTGCTCAGTAAACAGATTGCCAACATTCTTGAGGTGGATCCGATTCTGAAGGCTGCATGGGCATATAAAGAACGTGTTCCTTCGCGCTCTCTCGCCCTCGAGGAGAAGGAGAAGTACAACGTTGAATGGCGGTGTGATTGGGAACCCATGTCGTGGAGAGCCCCATCTGTTGGTGAGTAATGTATAGTTATTGTATTTTGCAAGTGCTTATCAATATTTAGATTTTGCTCTCACAGGGCAGACTCCTTTTGACATCAAGTTCTTTCAGGCCACTAAGCTGCGGATTAACTCTGAGAATGCCAACATGATTGTTGTTGATGTCGTCAAACCTCCTCGCAAGAAAGCAAAAGTTGAATGATGTTCTATTCACTGTCGTCTTTAGCTCTTTTTATATGTCATATGCACCTTGTACAATCAATATCACTCATTGCTCAATCCAGAAAGTATTCTTCTTTTCAAAATTTGTGAAGCTATATACTTTGCATCCAAGCTTGTCATTGTTTGGCAGCACAATTTATCACAAATATTTATTACATTCCATTTTACTCCTCATGCACATCAACGTCTTTATTCATCCAAACCTTCAATTTTTTGATGTCTATTATGCATCAAGCATGGAATATTGCAGAAGTGAGATCATTGATCTTCACACAGATTGATTCGCTTTGCGATCTGGTGCAATTAGCTGCTACTTGCAAAGCTTTTACAAAACCTGCCACTCTAGAATTATTGGAAAAGCAAACAAGCATTGTTCGTCTGAAAACATTGATCCCTCTAGATGCTCCAGCCCTTGCATCTGTTTGTGTTCTCCTTTTATTTTTGTTACTTGGATTACTCATTTACACTACTAGAATTGGGCTGCCTTCAATAAAGTTGCTGGCTCTATGACTGCTATTAGTCATGATCAATCTAAAGGCATCATTCAAGACACAGCTGATGTCCAAAACTTTGCATCATCTGTTTGTTGGGCTGTGGAACATAATCTGCTTCCCAGAGACATGTTTAAGCATCTGACTGCTCTATCATTGTCCATAATACCCAACTGGCCTCTCTCAGACTTCTTACCATTCCTGTTGGCTTCACATAATCTTTACCATCTGGTATTATCTCATCTTGGGTTCTCTGAGGCAGATCCTAAGTTTCAGGATGCTATGGCTAGTCTTCTGGACAATTGTCCCCTCCTGAACTCCCTTACTCTTGATCTTGACAGTTCATCTTCAAATCAGCCACCTTTATTCACCAAAGACACTATCCATACTAGGCTTAGGAGCCTCAATATCTTGTGTGATGGTCAACCTATCCACTTATATTTTCCAGCATTTCCATGTCTTCAGGAGCTTACTGTCCGAGCTCCAGAAAATGTTGACATTTATAAACTGCAGCCTGATTACCATCTGGATTTGCCAGCACTCCTGCACTTCAAGGTGGAGACTGCAGCCAAATACATTTCTCTCAAGTCCTTTGACTACATTTCATCGACATATTCCCTTGTTTCTTTCTCTGTGCAGTATACAGATGCACCACCATTTCCTCAAACAATTGAAAGAACATTGATGAAGATAAAGCAGATATGCTCTTCTGCTTCATTTCACGACCTCATCATATGTTATTGGGCAGACCCTCTTGGTACACCTATGGATGAGTACTTCCTTGAAAATGAGGGTGACTATGCCCCATTTTCAGCCCTGAAACTCAGAAAGCATCTTGTGTCATTTCCACTCCGCTGTCTGATCATAGATGTGGAACTTCCCTTCACAATGCTACATGATCATTTCCTCTTAACTATTGGCCAGACCTGGCCATCTCTTGAAACTTTGCATCTGATCCCCGGAAATGGAATTCCTGTTCCTGTATCAGCCTCAACCCGAGGAGTAATGCGACTTCTGGAACTCTGCCCACAATTGGAGTCATTAAAGATTCCATTTTTTCATCCTGCTGATATTCAGCTGCAATCTCCTCCAACATCAACTTACCCCTGATTAACAACATTGGGTATCGTCAAACTCAATGATCATAGTAGCAGTCGAACTTCCTTTGCAAACTATGTGTGCAGTACAATGCCCTCTATTACACAGATTTCTATCCAAACAGATAGTGTAATACTTTCACATCATGAAATTAATGTGGAGGACTTGGCAAGGTGAATTTCAATATTCAATTTATACTTTTGACTCTAATGTTCTCAAGAAGCGACTACACAGAAACAGACGATGATGGGTCTAGAGCATCTGAAAGTGGCTCAGATAATGAGCAAGAGTTATGAATAATAAATTTGTGTACTTCCTCACAGATCTTTCTCTAGACAAGTTGAGCTAAGTGTGATGCACTGAGTGCTATTGCTGAATCACATGTCCGTGTAAATTTAAGTCATGTGATTGTTCAACTCTCAAATATTTGAACAATGACTGCCAATATTCTTTGTCCTCCATCGACTATGCATCCATATCGGTGGACTCTGTTGCTACTTACCATCATCCCTCTGCTCCTTACAATCTATCCCATTGATACAAACATAGAATCCAAAGCAATTTGCCAAGGATTGATAGCGGTTGGAAACAACCCAAGCCGTCATGCACCCATAATAGAGATTGGAAACAATCCGAGCCTGCTGGCACATGTTGACTATGTCAACGACATTGAGATACACTTAACTATGCAGAGAGATTGGGAAATATATGTTCAGGCTATGACAAACTCTGTCATTGCTGATGAATTTCGAGAACTAAAAGTAAAAGTAACTTGCATTATTCATTCACTATTTGGTTTCACGTTAGAATACCTGTGCAGTCAAATACCAGCCTTGGTATACTATAGTGCAATTGTATATTCCTTGTCTGTTAACTATGCCATTAAGCTCTGCATTTTGCTTGCACTTCGGTTTTCAAGACACTGTACTTTCCGTCATGTATATGCAAATAAACTTCGCTTGTTTCAAGAGCATCTCTCATTTTCACTACCTGCACTATTTGTTCAACATCGATTTGTTGTGCATTTGTCCTCTTTTATTCTTATTTCAAAAATAATTCAATATACAATGGCCTATACATTTATCTCTTTCTCATCCATCTCCAACTGGTATGGCTATGAACTATTGTTGACAAATAGAGTTTCAGCTATCCAAGTCTCCACCATAAATGAACCTTACCTTCATTCTATTAAACATTGGTATGGGTATGGGTGCCCTTGTCAAGCAACAATGGCAGTTGTGCCTTCCATTCAATATGGGGGTGGAAAGATTAGCACAAACTTGAGTGACATAAAAAATTACATCACTCCATACAGTCTAGAGCTACAGAATGCGACCTCGGTTAATTATAAATACATTGGCCAGTTTGTGCTTCAAGCTGCTCAGGCTGAGTTACGTAAAAACCCTGAACTGCTTATATGTTATATGCCATTGGAATTATTAAAGGGAAAAATATCATTGGTTCAAGCGAAATCCATTGCAAAGATGCACAATGTTACAATATCAAGCAAATCTCCAGTTACAGAGGTCTTGGAGGTTTTATCAGCACATATGTGTTCCTCACGATGTTCTCAATTTTATACATTGTTTGCTCCAGAAAAACCAGCTTTGACATCTTCTGAACGTCAAGCTAAGTGGTACAAGGGTCTCAGTAAAGCAGACAAGAAAAAAATCATTAAAAAAAAGTATATTAAGTTTTTAAAAGGTCCAACATATAANATTAAGAGAAGTAAAGAGAATAAGTCTACTTATCAGACATCAAAAATCACTAATTTCCCACCTAAACCACCCT